CTCTTTCAGTGGGAAACAAGTCTGTCCATCCAGGCTGCAGGGTCAGCAGGGCTTGGGGTAGATCTGAAGATAGACAGACAGCAGTCAGGTGGTAAAATATAAAAGCACACAAACCCTCCTTTCTGGTCTGTTTATTGTTAGAATAACCAGGGTGTTGGGCAGCCATTGAACCTTGGGCACACAGAGGTCTTGTTCCCTGTTGTCACAGGTCGAAGTTTTGGGTATTGCTTTTCATACGAAGGTGTATACCTAATTACTTTAATTAGGATTTATTGGTCTGATGGCTTTTACATTGGGGGGCTTAGCTATGTGATGTCATATAAGAGCGGGGGAGAACTCGTTCAGGAGATACGTTTTGCTGACGTGTACGTGGTACCAGGAAGTTCAGTTTCCACACTGGTGACGTGGTTGTGCGGCTGTTTAAGGTAGCATGGGCAAAGGCAATTTTTTTTTTCTCCCGTCATTAAGTGCATCCAGCTTGTGCCACATTGGGAGTATATCGGTCGCTGTGTGCCTCCGTTTTGCGGTAACGGTGTTTGCTGACGTAGGTTGCTTACTGCATCTCGTGAGCCCTGAATGGGCTGCAGTTCCTTAAGCTAATTCTGGTCTCTGGCCTGCTGTTCTCCTCCTAGTGAGCAAGCTCATGGAGCTTTCAGGGTAGTGGTTTCAGCGCATTGGTGAGTATGTGTGAGCGTGTACTGCCATTTATTGCATGCTCTGGTGTGTAATGTCGCATGTTCTCTCGTTTGTTCTGTTTCGCAGGTTCGGCTGCATGTGGCAGCAGGAGTGATTGTTGTTCCTTTGATTTCCATTTTGCAATCCCTGGCGATTCTGCTGCTTTGTCTACATTAAATTTGTTTGACGGCCCTTCTGAACGTGCAATTAGGAGGATCGCGATCACATCGATATTGCTCCTTCTGTCATGTGACAGCGGTGGGGCAGTTTCTCTTTTGCTTAATTAGTTTTGTTTTATTGTACCGGAGCAGCAGGGTTGAAGTGGGTGGCAGGCTGAGTTGTAGGTGGTGGAGGGTTTTCTTCGTGTTGTGCTGGTTTCCGCTAGAGAGGTGTGTTCATGAGTGGAGTATAGCGTCTGGAAGGTGCCTTCTGTCCAGCCAGCCGCAGTGAGTCCCAGTGTTGCTCCTCGGTGCTCCTTGGGGTTCATTTTTATTTTAATGGGCTAAGTGGATTTTAATGCATCGCACATATTTTATTTTTGATGTGTGTGTGTGTGTGTGTGAGGGACGGATGTTGGCTTTGCTAATCAGTATGGCCATATAATTGTTTAATCTGCCTGTTGCATTGTAGAAAAAACTTCTGTATTTTTATTTGGGGAAATCACATCTCTGGTGTAACGAATTTGTGTGGTTTCCTAAATTGCTTTATGAAAGGTATTCCATCTGGTTGTGTCACACTATCAAACTATGGAGTTGCGTTTTCTTATATCCATTATTCGCTGTATTATTACCCCAAACTGCTGTAAGTTAACATAAAAAGGGATTCTCAGCTAAGTGCTTTGGGTCAATCGTGCAAAGAAAGGCACTATATAAAATTAATTCAATAAAACACTGCATAACATGAGGGTTTCTCTTTGGATAACTTACCCTGAATGTCCACCTGCAGAGGGTCACTGTACTGAGAGTAAAAGCTCCCTCTCTGAGCCCGACACCAGTACTGTCCACTGTGGGACAGAGCAGCAGAGATGATGGTGTAACTGGACCCATCCATCCTGCTGTTGTCAGGGTTGGACAGTTCTGTTCCCTGTCTGTCTTTGTACCAGAGATACTTCCAGCCAGAAGAGGCTCCCCTGACCCTACAGCTCAGACTGATCCTCTCTCCTGTGTAGGTCTCTCCCTCATGGGATGTCCAGGTTATGACAGCTTCTGGTTTCTCTCCTTATAATCAGCATTAGTACATTTATTAGCTGAATGTGCAGGAAACACAAAGGAAATGGGATCTGAGACATAATTATTATTTGCTTTTTACTCACCAGATACAGTGAGATTCAGAGATCCAGGTTGAGACTGAATTACTGGGTCACTTCCTCTTTCTGCCTGACATATATATTCTCCACTGTCAGATACTTTAACAGACTGGACAATGTAGTTCTTCTGTGCTTCTGTACTTTGGGGAGTCAGACTCTGCAGTCCTGTTTGTGTGATTCTTTTGGCCCATGAATATCTCCATCCAGATCCTCCTCTTATATCACATTCAAGGGTCACAGTTTCTCCACTGAACCACACAGGTGCTGGAGGATTCTGACGTATGACAGCCTGTGCTACATCTAAAAAAGTACAGTATACAAAAAGAAAATATCATTTTAGACATTTATGATTTTTTTCTATGTTATTATGCACTTTGTACAATATGACTGTTTCTCTTTTAATAACTTACCATGCACTTGCAGGCTGTGAGAGTTGCTGTCAGAAAGTTCACTTCCTCTCTGTCCGCTACACTGATAAAGTCCTTGGTCAGTCTTTCTTACAGGTTGCAGGATGTATGTTTCACCATCTTGCCCACTGCTGCCCAGAAGCTGAGAGGTGATTCCTTTTGTCCGTCTGGTCCAGATATATTTCCAGCCCTCAGACCCAGAGACCCGACAGGTGAGAGTAACTTTCTCTCCTAGGAACATGTCTGACCCTGGAGGATCTACTGTCAGCCAAGCCTGAGACGAGGATTCTGGAGCAGGAACCAACATGAAAAATGTCATGTAACATATATCTGGTAAATTCATCATAAGTTCATTATTTTCAACAGAGCTGAACAAAAATACAGTAATAGTCAAAAGTCTGGGCACACCTACTCATGGATAGGTTTATTTTAACATTTTTTACATTTTAAAATAATTATAGACACCAACACTACAAAATTCCATTATAACTTGCTGTTGGGGGAGCTCTGTGGGTTGGAACTCAGAAGGTTGTCAGTTCAAATCCCATGGTTGGGAGAGTGATCACACCATTGGGCCCTTTAGCAAGGCCCTTTACCCCAATTGCTCCAGGGACTGGCTGACTCTATGCCAGTTCCATGAGATGGCCTCTTGCGATTCTTTTTTTAGCTGTCTGAAGGACTTCCCACATATGATAAGCAGTCATTGGCCGCTTTTCCTTCACACTCTGGTCAAACTCTTCCCAAATCATCTGTACTGTGTTTAGGTCAGGTGGCCAGGTCGTGTGATGTGACTGTATCACTCTCCTTTGTACAGTAAGTGACTTGGTGTGTCAGAACTTTTGACTGGTACTGTACATATTTGAAAAACAAGATATTTACATTTACTGTTATGAATTAAAAATGAACAAATAATAACCTCAATAACAGTCTGGACTGGAAGACCAACACTGTCTACAAGAAGGGCATGAATAAACTATTTACTGAAGAAACTGAGATTCTTCAATGGGTCCAGATCACCACTGCCAGAGTGTTAACATGCACCAGTCACAGGGATCACATCACACCTGCTCGTAAATCCCTGCACCAGAACCTTTTATGGAACCATAACCTTTTTCCAGAACCAGGGACTTTTGTCATGTTCACACTGCAGGAACTCGGCCCAATCATAGTGCCTCAGAGGCAGTTCCAGAACCGTTTTTTCCATCGAGGCTCTTACAGCGATAGGTTGCTGATTGGTCGACCCCTAGCACCGGCACTAACATGGAAGTTAGAAGTGCAGAAAAAGAGGTGTAGCGAGATCCACGTATCGTACAGTACAAGTCTTAGATTCTGAAAATCTAAAAATAGTGATCTTTTTTAATTCACTTATATTTGCTTTTCAGAGACTCTTTGTGGCCACGTTGCCTTCAGTTCCCCTCCGCATTATGTAATCCTTTGTGTCTGTACTGTGTTCATGCCTGACCACATGTTGGCTGTGGTTCACTAACTCCTGAGTCCAGCAATCGACATGTTAGCGAGTTCGGCATGTTCATGGTTCCATGTGACTCTCTTTGGTCAAGCGGTTCCTCTGCAAATCTTATGAAACCCAAAACTCACTGAGTGATCCATTCTGATTGTGACGAAAGTCTGCTCCAGAGGTCCGGTTAGTAAATGTGCCGATCCCAATAGTGAACAGTATTAGTTGTATGTTATGGCTTTGGTGTTGGTTTTTAACCATTAATGAAAACATTTTATCAGGAGATGCTTCCCAAAGCCTGAGATTTTCAATAAAAGGTATTGAACAAAATGCAGTGGCAAGTAGACCCCCCCTCCCCACCCCAACTGACTCTTTGAATCGAACATTCCATTCTTTTAAATGGTAGAATCAGTTCTGTAAATTGAACTGAACTTCCTGTCACTAATCTACTGTAAACCGAAACTAAGGCCTGGAGTCTGGGGCAGAAACCAACGTGAGAAACATTATGTAACACACATGTAGTAAATAATAGTTCATTACTTTCAACTAAGCCTGAGCACTGGACACTGGAGAAGAAACATGTGTTTGGAAAAAACAATGTTTATATATAAAGTTAGGAATGAATATATCCGTAAACGTTATTGACAAGCATTAATACAATAATATTCTTACCTGTAAAGCAGCCAAAATGAACCAAAACTATGACTAAATAAGAAAGACAAAGTGAAAATACATTCAGTTACTTGCTTCTCTGCCTTGATGGGTCTTTTTAACACTGTTATCTATGTGCATCAGTGTTAACTCTTAAAACTACAAAGTCCTCTAATGTCCTGAGTAAAATTAATAATTTCTTAGAATATTTGCCTATTGTATAGTTAATAAAATAGTGGTTCATCCTCATTAATTGACATGAAAATGTTTTTATATAAAACAAATAATTAATGAGATTCTACCTAACATAGATTTCTGCATGAAATATGCATGATAACATGTTCTAAATTGTTAATGACAGTATTTTTTTTATATGAAACTAAACATAAATTATGTCCATCCATCCAGTCTTGTTGTTGATTACTATCTCACTTCAGTTCAATACTTAAAAAAATGACTGAAAACACTTTTACTTACAAATCCAGAACAGGGTATCCCTCATATTTATAATGCCTTTCATGATGTGAGTCTGACCTGTTTGTATCGCCGCAAATGTCTGCGCAGAGGAAGTGGTGACAGAATAAGACCTTGTCGTGACACAGAGACACGTCACAGGCGATGACACAACACACAAACCGGCTGCTCTTTGTGCTTATTAAGGTACGAGGTCGTGTCACGTAGGGCTGAGCGATAAAGCTGAAGAACAGTATCTCAATATTGATATTCGGTATATATCGATATTATTAAAATTTCTCTAAAATATTTTTTTTTAAGTCAGGAAAGAAAGTTGGAAAGAATTATGGTTTTATTTATTTGCATGAATGTTTTCCAAATGGACGACATAAGAAGAGTGCATCTCTGCTGAACATAACATTTAAAAAAAAAATTAAATAAATCTTAAAAAAAAACACAAAATGACGAAATATCGAAGTGCCTGAAATGTTAACAAATATTTCATTGTATTTGAACATTTACATTGTTTATATTCAAAATAAGATATTATATAACATTTTTTAATGCTGTTTGGTTCCTCTAATGAACTGATTCACAAGAAACAAAAATAGAAGATAAAAAATCAGATTGACTAAATTCAGTACGGCATCAATTTGTCTTGGGAATGACAGATACAAGTCCGGCGTAGTGGCCAGAGGGTTGTTATGCCATTCCTGCCCAGGCCACTACGTGATTCTGGTGGAGGAAAATGTTTCCAGATTGGCTCCACCAAAACACCCCAAAGTGGCTCAATAATATTCAGATCTGGTGACTCTGCAGGCCATGGGAGATGTTCAGCTTCACTTTCTTGGTCCTCAAACCACTCTTTCACTTGTCTTGCTGTGTGTATTGGTGCATTATCGTCCTGAGACATGGCACCTAACTTCATGGGTACAATGTTTGAACCACTGGGTGACCATGGTCCTCCAGAAGGGTTCGGTAGACCTTGACAGTGACACACCCATCAAGAACAAGTAGTGGGTCTAGGGAATGCCATGATATTGTAGCCCTAATCATCACTGATCCACAAAAGTCCCAGTGGTAAACCTCCTTGAGTCTTCTCCACATCATAACTCTTCTGTATGTGGGAAAGACAGTGAAGGTGGATTCATCAGAGAGCAATACATGTTTCACATTGTCCACAGGCCAGGATCTGTGCTGCTGGCATCATTGAAACATATGTTTGGCATTGTCATGAGCGACCAAAGATTTGGCTGTAGCAACCGGACCATGAATGTTGACCCTGTGGAGCTCTCAACAACAACAACAACAAATTTATTTTTGTATAGCACATTATCACAACATTACATCGTCTCAAAGCGCTTTACAGCATCCCCACCCAAAGCCTCCAGTGAGTAAGCCATAGGAGACAGTGGCAAGGAAAAACTCCCGAGAAGGAAGAAACCTTGGGAGGGACCAGACTCAAAGGGGGAGCCCATCCTCCTGGGGCCGGCAGGGAGAGTCAAATACGATGAACAGAATTCTGCAGTGAGTTGGGCAGCTGTGGTTTTATGTTTTTTGGATGCAATCCGAGTTAGTACCTGGACACCCCTTTCATCTTCCTCTTGTATCCACAGTTATTCCTGTTGGATGTGGTCCATCCTTCATGGTGGTAAGCCAGCATTACCCTGGATACCGTGGCTCTCGATGCACCACAAAGACTCGCTGTCCTGGTCACAGATGCACCATTTGCACAATTTGTCTTCTTTTGAACTCTGATATATCTTCCATGATGTTGGGTGGATTACATTATGCAAAACTGTGCTATTGCTCTGCTAATTCTACCTTCACACTCTGCTCTTACTGTTGGAATTTGCAAATTGAAGATTGGCCACCAGGCCGCACATATAGACGTGAAACATCAAACACTATTAGCCAGTGTTTCGGTTTCATTGTCCAACCCCAGTATTTTGTACACAGGTCCTGAGAGGACACTCATTATTTTATTTTCTTCCCATTATCCTGAGATCATGGCTTATTTTTCTCATGATATAAATGAAGGTGCAATTAATGCAAAGGGTTATCAAATAATTAAGTTGCATCCCTCACAACCTCAGATTCTCTCCTACTCCATTGATAAGGTTCAAATAGGAAGCTGATTGAACAGCATCATCCTATGTGCTGATGCTGTGACACGGACAGTGAGTGGCAGGTATCTCCGTGACAAGTTCATGAACACAACAAGTAAAAGTTGTTACATGGAGTTTTGTTCTGTTGATATCGCATGAAAAATATCTTGTAATCTTGAGATAACAACTTTTGTTAAGTCGAGATCTAGAGAAAACAGGAAAAAAAAAATAATGATGAATGTCTTCTCTGGACTTCCGTAATTAGGGGATATGCATATCTATACCAAATAATCAAGAAAGCACGTTAGAGTTTAATCCTTAAGAAACCTAAAGAAAGCAGGTTAGAGTTTAAACCTTAAGAATCTTAAGACACTTAAAGAAAGCAGGTTAGAGTTTAAACCTTAAGAACCTTAAGACACTTCAAGAAAGCAGGTTAGAGTTTAAACCTTATGTCCAACACCACAGTCATTTAATAATTATTAATAAATACGTATAAAAAAACATATGAAAGTTATATCCTGTGCACCGTCCCCCATCGTTTAATACTTAAAGCACACTTTACTGAACACGTCTGTATCGTTTTGGTTTATACTTATTAGTTCATTAATTCTGTCTTTTTGTACTTTATGCAGAAGTTACTCAGTTACTTCTGGGGCTCCATACGATGCGTAAAATACTTCAGTCTCTTTGCACTGCATTTTTCTTTGCGCTTCACTGAGTGTTTCTCAATATGTCAAGAACACAATATTTGTTGATACTTGTTAGGCTAATTTACTGTATATTCATTCTTCCCCACTCATACATTTCTAATATTAGTAATAAGGTATTTTGTATTGTTCCTTTAGTACTGCACAAATCAATATGTGAAAATATAAAAACACATCTCCTTCAAATTCTATGAAATGTAAACTGCCAGAGTTAGCTGGATTCCAAAACAAAAATTTAATTATTGCATATGGTTATTGACAGTCATTTTTATATAAGAGTATTGATAGTACTGGTTTCTGAAGAAAGGGTATTTGTGACACTGCAGTGGGTAAGTGGTTGAAGGATCGATGGATGGATGGATGGATGGGTGGATGGATGGATGAATGGATGGAGTCTAGCCCATCAGATTACTCAATGTATTGTGCAGTATGTGGAACATGATATGAATCCAGCCAGTTGTCTGACAGCACTAAAGTTCACCGTCTTCTCCCTGCACAAATGGAGAAGCAAGGAAACCTGCAGTGACCTAAATTCCAGCCAGCAAAGACAAACAAGGAAGTGAAACAGAAACTGTGTCCCCAGAGTAGGGCAGGGGGATCATATAATGCCACCGAGAGACGGACCGTCCAGCTTTTATGGTGCCACACCTGAGTGCTCACAAACCACCAAAATGCCATAGAGAGCCACCCAGATGGGGGGTGGGGGTGTAACTCACTGAGAATCAGTCCAGTTAATGTTCACTTAGGTATATGACAGCAGGGAAGCTGACTGGTGCATCACCTAACATAAACATGCATTTTCTGATGTTCACTTAGGTATATAACAGCAGGGAAGCTGACTGGTGCATCACCTGACATAAACATGCATTTTCTAATGTTCTCTAAGTTCCTGTTTCCCTGCCTCAGACCTGGGCCCCTATGTCTCAGATTTGCCTTCATATTTACATTTTAGGCTGTAGTAAGTTAACCTTTGACATTTATACCTTCAACAACCTGTCACTGTCTCACCTGGAGTGAGTGCAATGCTGACTGTAATCTCCCTGAATTCCCTTGCAGGTACAGTATGATGCTTACAGGTACCTGCCTGTCCATGTCTAGTTTGAAAGCTACCTGCTTTCCTATTGGTCATAGCTTCATGCCTACCTGAGTACTTTAGCTGTTGTCACATTCAGCGGAGACTGCATGGACGTTCAGCTCTGTGCTTCCTTCTGCATCGGTTTCTACAATCACATGTATGTTCCTGTGCCCGGTTTTGCTTTGGCTTGTAGTTTTAAATACCCTTGCAAAGTGGTTAAATGTACGACACTTACACTGTTGGCCTTTAGCTAGGCTGTCAGTTTGTCTGCTGTGTGTTTTTTTCCCCACACGCTTTCCTTGCTGCCGACTTGCTTTGCATTTTTTTTCTAACATCCGGTTTGTTCACAACCATAACCCACATGTGTGAAATCCACAAACCCACCCCCCACCCTACCCAACCCCCCCACAATGTCAGTTAAGAAATAAAGATTCTTCATTGCTTATTATGAAGGAATAATGCGATTTGTAACATTATTACATAATAAACCTTAATCGAATAATAACAACAATACCTTAAATAAAAGCTGCTAAGAAGGAAATGCACAATTCAAACCATCTTTCACACATATAACCAAAGGAAGATGTAGCAGTGTGACTCCTTCCCTGTTCCCCGCATCGCGTGGCTGTTCTGTGCTGGGGAGGGAGAACTTACAGGAGCGCAAGGATCACATAGCGTAAGGATGTGCGGATCGATACTGAAATGTCGATTATCAATTCTAGTGATAAAAAGCATTTTTTTTTATCTGCCAATTTAATTGTTCATACTATTATATGGAACAGAACCTGAATTACTACCAGGCAGAACCCCCCCCCCCCCCCCCCCCCCGTTTTACTGTAAGGGTTAGGCTGGCACCGAATATCGACATAAACTGTACTGGCGCTGGATTGAATTGAATCGAAAAGAAAATCGGTGATATTCCTGATGTAGAGTATCATGTGGGGGCCCGTCTATGCCTAATCCCCCTCCTCACCCCAAGTAGATGGCGCCCTAGGCAGTCGCCTATATCACCGAATGGGTTCATTGGCTCAACTTGAGTGTAACTATAGTAAAATATCAAAAATTATGTTTTGGTCGTTCTAAAAAAAAACACATTCTAATTTGAAAAAATTACACTAAAAAACATGGACAATTTCACAACAATGAAAAACTGCATCCACAAAATACTTATCACACTGAACATGTATAACCAAAATG